ACTATAGGATCTTCCTTGATTGATATATTTAACTTAATCACAATGTATGCTCTGTAAGGTGGGGACTTTGTGAATAGTGTTTATCTTTCTATCCTCAGCGTCTATTCTTAGCATATATTTGGCCCTTGATAAATATTGATTATATGGCTTAATGGATTAGTAATTACTACAATTATTAAAACTATGAATTAGAATGTAGTTTGCTAGCCTGGCAGATACCAGCACCCCAGAGCCATCTGAGCCATCCAGCCATGGTCAGCACCATTATGTTCTTTAACATCACCGTGGACAGCAGTGCTTAAGCTGTGTCTTCTTTGAACAGTTTCCAGAAAAAGTTCCAAATACAACAGGGAATTTTGATGCCTAAGCACTGGGAAAAAGGAATTGGTTATAAAGTTTCCTGCTTTCACATGGTTATTCCAGGATTTATGTGCTGGGGTGGTGGTGGCAAATCTATCTATGGGGAGAAATTTGAGGATAAGAATTTCATCCTGAAGCACACCGGTCCTGGCATCTTGTCCATGGCAAATGCTGGACCCAACACACTTCCCAGTTTTACATCTGTGCGGCCAAGGAAGGCTGAGTGCTTGGATGGCAAGCATGTGGTCTTTGGCATGGTGAAATAGGATATGAATATTGTGGAAGCCTGGAATGTTTTGAGTCCAAGAATGGCAAGACCAGCAAGATCACAGTTGCCGACTGTGGACAAATCTAATAAATTTGACTTGTGTTTTATCTTAACTACCAGCCCATTCCTTTTGTAGCTCTGGAGAGGTCCCCTTCACCCTCATCTGCTGGAAATTTTCTATAATCTTTGTGGTCTGGCTGCAATTCCATGGATTCCATGTTTTCCTTACTCCCCTTCAAGTCTACCTGGATCACAGAGTTAAGATTATGATGATGAAATAAAACCTAAACAACAACAAAAAGAAGATAATTTGCTAAAAATGTGTTCCTTATTTGTTACATGAATTTCTAGCTATCATTACAGTAAGAACACCCAGTGAATTTGAAGAGCATCTATCTTATTTATCAAAACTCTTGGTTAATATGAAGAAAGGTTCCATCCTCACCCTGAGTTTTGGCATTTTTATGTATGTCCACTTAGTCTTCAACATAACATGTCCAGTCCTCTTTGTTATCATCTTTCCCTCAAAATGGATCAACCTTCACATCTTCCTCATTTTATTACAGCCAGTACAGTTTTCCTAGCTATCAGATCCCGGAAACTTATGATAATTTTCAAATGTCTTCTTGTTTCATCATATCCAGTTAATTGTCTTAGACTTTGAGGACATCTGTTAACCACATTTATTTTGATAACAACCCAATTGGACATGGCAGAACTCCATATACAGATGGGGAGATGGTGAATCACTCCCAAGAAGGTTTAAATAACCATTATTCAGGGCCAGATCCTTTTACAATTTCCCCATTAGTTCTTTCTATAGCATTTACTCTCCTATTTTACTTTTTCCCTGACATATACAATGCATATAATATCCTGTATTTTAATTTTATGGATCTTGTGTTGTAGTTGAATTGTTTCACTTGTACTTAACATGTTTTGAGCTATAGTAAGCCCTTTGATGTCTCAGACTAAGGCTCTCTGTGTCCACCCCAGAAGGAGGCTGTTTTTAACTACCTCTGAAAGGTGAATAGCTATAGCATATCCTATTTACTGTATTCCTTCGGGACAGTTACTTTCAGGGCAATTACTGTTCTCATTTTAAATCTGCCTTATGATCACAGATAAATCCCAAGTAAGCATCTACAAGGTTCTATTACACAATTTTTCCAGTGTGGTGGATTTGTACCTCAAGCATAATTCTAGCTATTAGGCGAGGAGCATTATCACTAATCCCCATGAATCCACAGTCAAGGTGAAAAGACATGCAAAAAAACACAGCAATTTCAGGAGAATCTGGTAGAGATATGCAATGGGAAACTCTGTGACCTACAAGGAGTACCAAAGCTAAGGTAGAGAAGTCTTGAAAACTTTTTTGGGAGCAAGGGGACTCATATCTTTATTGAGATAACCTTCACATAACATAAAATTCACCACCTTAACCATTTTAAGTTATACAATTCAGTGCTATGTAGCATACTCACAATGTTATGCATACCATCACCACTACCTAATTCCAGAACGTTTTAATCACCCCAAAAGGAAACCCCATATCCATTTTAAAGAGTCATTTCTCATTTTCCCCTGCCCTTTTGCCCCTGGAAACTGTGAATCTTTTCTGTTTCAGTGGATTTGCCTATTCTGGACATTTCCTATAAATAGAAACAGAAGTGTGGTAGTCTTTATCTAATAAATTTAATGTTTGGACTTCCTTAGGGACAGTTTCTATTTATTGCTTCCCCCCACTCCTGTTTATGAACCATACTTTCTTATTTATTTATATGCATCACATTTTTGTTGAAAACTGAGTACTTTTTTTTTTTTTAATTTTATTTATTTGTCAGACAGAGAAAGAGTAAGCACAGGCAGATAGAATGGCAGGCAGAGGCAGAGAGAGAAGCAGGCTCCCTGCTGAGCAAGGAGCCCGATGTGGGACTAGAATCCAGGACGCTGGGATCATGACCTGAGCTGAAGGCAGCTGCTTAACCAACTGAGCCACCCAGGAGTCCCGAAAACTGAGTATTTTTAATATGATAATGTAGCAACTCTAGAAATCAGGATATCTGGATATCTGCCCCTAGGGTTTGCTATTGTTCCTTGTTGTTGTTAATGTTTGGGTTCTGGTGACTTTCCGAACTAATTATAAAGTCTGTTTTCTGTTGTGTGTGGCCCCTAATGTTCTTTTAGTTTAGGGGTGAGCTAGAGGCTGGAATAAGATTTGCTTAAACATCTGTAAACAATAAATTCCCAGTCTTTGCCAGTGGTCTGTGTGTATGCTTGGCATACCTTCAACACTCAGTTAAGCAATTTACATCTCTGCCTTGGCCTTTACTTCCTCTCTGTGTAGATCCTGAAGGTCAGTCAGAATGAGCTTAGGGTCTTCTTAATTCTTCCTTGAGCATGTGCCCTGCTCTGGAAATTCACATGACTTTTCAGATTCCCATGAATGTATTGGAGCTTTTGAAAATATGTGTTTCCTGGGACATCTGGGTGGCTCAGTCAGTTAATCAACTGACTTGATTTTGGTTCAGGTCATGATCTCAGGATCCTGAAATCAAACCCTGGGTCAAGCCCAACCTTGCATTCTATGCTCAGTGGGGAGTCTGCTTCTCTTACTCTCTCTCCCCACCCCTGCACCTTCCCCCATTTGTTATCTCTTTCTAAAATAAATATATAAATAAATAAATCTTTAAAAAACAAAACAAAAAGCATATGTTTCCCCAAAGCATCTCATTCCCTGGTCTTCTCTCCCAAGCTTTTTCATTAGTAAGTGGTTTTCCCCAAGTGTTATACATTGTTTCAGAAAGCTAATATATCTCTTCATAAATGTTTTTGACAAATGCCCCCCCCCCCCACCAAAACTGCCACAGTTCCAAGTTAAATAAGATAAAGGCAACCCTTCAGCTGGTCTTCTAGGGAGCCATTAGACAGGTCAAAACAAATGATCACAATTCTTTGTGAATGAGGTCTTTTCTGTTTCCTCTGGTACTGGTACCTGTACAAGGGTTGTGGATTAACTGGGAATGTGAAATGAGAACAACGTAAATCTGAGGTGCCTGGGTGGCTCAGTTGGTTAGGCATCCGAATCTTGATTTCAGACCAGGTCATGTTCTCAGGGTTGTGAGATCAAGCCTTCCATCAGGCTCACACTGGGCATGGAGCTTGCGTGGGATTCTCTCTTCTTCTTTCTGCCCCTCCCCCATCAAAAAAAAAAAAGAAGGAAAGAAAAGAACAACGTAAGTTACACCACAAAACCCTCTGTTCTTACTAAGATTCAGATGACTTTTCTTACTTAAATCTTACCCTCATTGCTGTAAGTTTTTGGTCTGTTTCCAGAATTCCGAAAAGGTTGATTCTGACAGTTTTTATAAGATTCCATTGCCTTTATGGAAGGATGAACTTTTGGATTTCTTTACTCTGCCATTTTCACTGACAACACTAGAAAAACTTTTAAGATGATGTTACAATTAAGCTGGGTTTTAAAAATCCAGCAGGAATTAGTCAGATAGAAAGTTGAGAGAACAAACCAGATAGAGCATTTTATCAAAAGGCCCAGAAGTACAAGGAGGAGACTAACATGTGCTGGGAAATGACCCTAGTTCAGCAAGATTGAATTAGAGGATAAAATTAAGTGAAAAGACATGCATTTTAGAGGAGATAGGATGAAGATTCAGAGTTCCTTATGCTGTAATACAATATTTGGACTAAATTAGGGCAATGTGTACTGAATTATTTAAAGCAAACTTGTTAAAAAAATAAAGCAGACTTGTTAAGTCATTTCTGTAAGCATTATGGAAGATGGATAGTTTGAAAATGAATTTAGGCAAGGGATCTAGTAAGGAGACTAATACAAACATCGTGAGCCTAAGAGATGATAAACCGAGGTTGTGACTGTGGAAATGGAGAGGAGGAGTACTTAGTACTCAGTACTTAGAGTGGAGATACTTAGGAGTTAAAATTGGTAAATAGTAATCTCCTCTTTTTTCAGTGCATGCAAAGGGGGAAGGCATGGCAATGAGGAACAAGTGTAAGGAAAGTGTCTAGAATGATGCTGATAATTTCGGCTTCAGAAAGTGAGAGGGTACCAACACCATTCACTGAAATTAAGAATACTCATCATGAAGTAAATTTGGAGAAGAAAAATAAAGCTAGCTGAATTCAGATTTGAACATTATGAGATTAAGTTTTTCATGAAACATGTGGCGACATATTCAATGAACCTAGGAAGACACATGTTTGGTGCTTAAGCACATGTTTGGTGCTTAAGAGGAATTTGGAGTTGCCAAAGTAGATTTTTGGATAGCTAAGGTGTATATATAAGTGATAAAGAGAAACTGTGGGTATAAATGAAGTCACTAGAAGTAAAAATATAGTGCTTACATTGGCAACACTTATGCTAAAATTGGAATGATACAGAGAAGATTAGCATGACCTCTATACAAGGATGATACACAGATTTCTGAAGCATTCCCTATTTTTTAATCTGTGGATATAGTATTTTGTGAATGACCTTTTAAATAAAAGAAAACCTTACAGAAAAAAAAAAAGAAAAAATATAGAGAAGATGATTGAGGCTACCCTAGAACACTTTAACAATTGAATAGATAATTTATTATTACTATTCCTAGCCAAACTGCATCAGACAATAAAAGTCAATGAAAAGTTTATTCACAAGTAATGTATGAAGAGATTATACCATTCTGTCTTAACTTCAGACCTAGTGAAGTTCTCATATAGTCAATCCAGAAGACTTTCTGATGGGACATTAAGTCTGGAGTTGTTCCAATAGTATAGAATCCAGAGTTCTCATTTATATGGTAGAACAGTTTACCTGGGATAACCATTGATTTGTTCTATTTTTTTTTTTTTAAATCTAGGTCATCAGCATGAATTTAATTTTAATATTGTGAACTGAAAGAGAATTAAACTTCTCTAAGAAAACAAGCCAAGAGAGTCCCAAAATATAACCAGGGTTGAAAACTGCTGTTGGAAAATGTGAGGTATAGTTAAATCCCCCAGGATTAACCTTATTCCTAATTTTAATGTATCCTAATATTAGAGATTTTTGTAAAACACTACATCCAAAGACATAGCCCAAGATTTGACAAATAATAAATCATTTCTTTATATTTAAATGTTCAGATATTTGTGGATAAGAACTACATTTTATATTTTTTAAACTAACACCATGACTACATAGTGTCATATTGCATATATGCTGCAAAATACTGTATAGTTGGCAACAGAAACATATTATTTGTACTTAAAGATTGTAATAATCAGTCACTGTCATTGTTTAAAATGGACAGGATCCAAGGGTGCTTGGGTAGCTCAGTTGGATAAGCATCTGCTTTCAGCTCAGGTTATCATCCCAGGGTCCTGGGATTGAGCCCCACATCAGATTCCCTGCTCAGTAGGGAGTCTGCTTTTCCCTCACTCTCTGCCCTTCCCCCCACTCATGTTCTCTCTCTTGCTCTCTCAAATAATTAAAATATAAATATAAATATTTTATATAAAAATATAAAAAAATATTTTATATAAAAATATAAAAAAAAATACATTAAAAATTAATATGGGGCACCTGGGTGGCTCAGTTGGTTAAGCGTCTGCCTTCGGCTCAGGTCATGATCCTGGCATCCAGGGATTGAGTCCCACATCGGGCTCCCTGCTCAGCACGGAGTCTGCTTCTCCCTTTGACCCTTACCCCTCTCATGCTCTCTCCCTTTCTCTCTCTCTCTCTCTCTCTCCAATAAATAAATAAATAAATAAATATTCAAAAAAATAAATATGGGCAGCATCTGAATTTCTAATGAAGAATTAACAGAGATATTCAGAAAAAGATTATTTCAATATGAGTAGCTCCATTCACATAGCAAGATAATTTCCCAGTTAACACTTCCTATATGGATAGTATATGTGAAGGACAACAAACCTTTTATAAAGATAGCAAATATTTTAGGCTTTACAATTGATACCATCTTTCATAACATCTGAAATTTGTCCTTGTAGTGCAAAAACAGCCAGAGAAAATACATAAAGGAAGGAGTATGCCAAAACCTTATATATAGTCACTAAATTTTGATTTCCTATAATTTTCATGTGTTACACAATAGGTTACATTTGATTTTTTTCAATTTGGGGGTATAAAATCCTCTCAGTTCACCATGCAAAACAAAAACAGGTAGAAGGTCACATTGGGCATTTGGACTATCACTTGCTGACTTCTGATGCAGCACCTAAAATCTCCGTGATTTTTCTTTCAAACTGAATGTATGTAAGCAGCATATACACAGGCTAAGATTGAGTTCTCTGGATTCTGAAAATTCTGAGGTTGGAGCAGATTTTTTCCCCTTCACATCTTCCTATTCATCTTGCTTTTGTTTGTGTTCTTACCATGTTTCATAGGCTCAAAAACATAGGGTTTTGGAGTGACTGCATACATGTGTGACTGAATAAAAATACTAATGTCATTTCTATTCTGACACGACACTAGACACAACTCAAAAATCAAATGACTCAGTTTTCTTTTTTCCCCAACATTTTTAATGTAGTTTTATTATTAGAAACCCAGTTTCTTCGCTGATGTTGACTTAACCCACAATGTGTAAGCATAATCATTTTAAAATTCCATATCATTTTCGATTGTTCACAAAGGAGCATAATAACAGAGTTTATCATAGGGTCAAAATAAATAAAGTACATTATTGATTCTGTGCTTACAACACTTAGGCATTTAAAGATGAGGTCTTTTTTATGATTATAAAGTGTAATTATTTTAAATATGTCCTTATTTAATAAATATATGCATATAAAAACAGATAATTATATTGCTTATATTTTGACTACTTAGTAGTGTATTGAACATTGGAACATTTTTTTCCCTGAATCAGGTATTTAGTTGTGCTAACATTTGTAGATACTTAATTATTCAGGTGATAATAGTTTAACAGACCTTGATATATTAAGGCATAATGGTTAAGAGCATCAGGTCTGAGGTGCCTGGATGACTCAGTCATTAAGTGTCTGCCTTTGGCTCAGGTCATGATCCTGTGGTCCTGGGATCGAGCTCACATTGGGCTCCCTGCTTGGTGGGAAGCCTGCTTCCCTCTCTAACTCCCACTGCTTGTGTTCCCTGTCTCACTGTCTCTCTCTCTCTCTCTCTCGCTCTCTGTCAAATAAATAAATAAAATCTTAAAAAGAAAGAAAAAAGAGCATCAGTTATACAATTAAACAAAACTACAGATCCCAAATCCACTTCTTACTAGCTATGTGACCTTGTACAATTTACTTATCTGTGACTTATTTTCCTCTTCTTTGCATGGAGGCAACAATTGCTAGCTCAGAGGAAATTAACATTTAAAAAAGTTAATATGTGCAAGTTGTTCACAATAGTTTCTGGTGAAATTTAAGGACTTAACACATGTGAGCTTTTTACATGTATTTAAATAAGTCGATAAAATATTGTCATAAACATGCTTATTTTTAGTTATCTATTTCATCTCACTCAGCAAGTATAATATAGGAGAAAATAAGAGACATTAGAGAAGATTTCAGACAAATTGGTCTATGCGTTAAGAATATTTTTATATCATACAAGTAACCTACATTGAAATGAGGTCTGAAGGAAAATTCCTACCAACAGAAAACAGCTAAAGGCACTGTGGAATTTCTTCCCCAAATCACAGAAGAAAGAGATATCTTTTCTTTTTCTTTTTTGTTATTTTTATTTTTTTTAAAGATATTGCTTATTTATTTGACAGAGAGAGAGATCACGTAGGCAGAGAGGCAAGCAGAGAGAGAAGGAGGAAGCTGGCTCCCTGCTGAGCAGAGAGCCCAATGTGGGGCTTGATCCCAGGACTCTGAGACCATGACCTGAGCCGAAGGCAGAGGCTTAACCCACTGAGCGACCCAGGTGCCCCTATCTTTTCTTTTTAAAAGGACATACTCCTATCCATCCATAAGCATGCTTTTGTTTGTATCAAGTTTCCTTTACCTTCATTTTAAGTTAGAATATCTGTCCTCTTTTGATGTGAGTAAATCCCCTTTGGTTGAATCTTGCCTCTTCCTTGGCTGTGGAAGGATATTAATGAGAAGGTTATTTATAAAACTGTAAATTATCTTACATCATGATCACTATACTTAGAATATATAGTGGCTCGAATTAATAAGTTAATTAATAAGTTAAGGTGTCAACATGGAACTGAAAAGGGAAAAACATGAACTTTTTTTAGGAAATTATTTCCTTATATCTTATATTTATTGATGAAGAGTCATTTTAAAGAAATGTATAGTTTGGAATCTTCCAGAATAAGCATAAAGCAAATAAATAGCTCTTGATAAAAAGCAAATAATTCCCAAATATCATCAAATACAGGTGATGGGTCTTGTTTGAGAGTTTCTTGCTGTCATTCTTGCCATTATTCTTTTTAATATGTTTTATAGGCAATAAAATATTTGGCAGTGGTTGCTTTTCACTGTCTAAGAGAAATATTCTACCATTTCTAAGGTAATCTCTCTTAACATCCTAAAATTTAAAAAAAAATCCTAAAATTAGTTCCTATGTTATAATTTTGAGAATGCTGATTCATACATTCCAGTATCAGTTTTTCATTAAAGGCACAATTGAATTGTATCAATCAACTACTATTTAATCTCATCAGAGATAAATTTTGACAAGATATTTTTAGTGAGACCTTATGAATCTGTTTCCTAATGTAAAAACTATTAATTTATAATAGCTTCTCTATACTTAATGCTACATTTTTATCATTTGCCTACCTCTCCCCAACACCCAAATAACCATTATTTTATTACATTGCTTCTTTTTATATTTTCATCAAATTATATTAATTAGTGCTAGTCATTTTTTTCAGATATTTTATTTATTTATTTGAAAGATAGAAATCACAAGTAGGCAGAGAGGCAGGCAGAGAGAGGAGGAAGCAGGCTCCCTGCTGAGCAGAGAGCCTGATGTGGGGCCTGATCCCAGGACCCTGAAATCATGACCTGAGCTGAAGGCAGAGGCTTTAACCCACTGATTCACCCAGGTGCTCCTAGTGTTAGTCATTTTTTAACTTAAAAAATTTATACCATAATGGTACTTTTCATTTTTGCTTATTTTACTCATTATTTCACCAATCATACCTCTGTTGTTCTGTGTATCAAGCATATATAGAGAAAATAGTGTTTGTTTTTTCCCCATTTAAAAAAAAATTGTTCTGTTTGATTTATCAGTTTCACTAAGGGAAGATCATGTATGCATGTAATTTAGAGAGAAATTTTATTCAAAATTAACATCTGGAAATGCTTATTTACCCAAATTTCTACCCAAGAAAGCATTATATAGCTTTGCTTTTTTTTAACTATACATGGCTAGATGAAACAAGGTAAACTGATTTATAATCTAGTTTTAGAGATGATATATTTATTACAAATAAATGAAATAAATTTCAAGAACAATTTTATAAAGTTTCCCCCAA